GATTCTACCATCATAGGAAGAAAGCAGCCATAGACAATACATAAACAAATGAGCATGGCTGTGTTCCAATAAAACTTTATTTACAAGCATAGATGGCAGGCCACACTTGCCAACTACCAGACTACATAATAGTAATGTCAATGTTAACTTCCTAATTTTGATGATTGCACTGTAGTTATACAGGAGAATCCTATTTCTAGGAAACAAACACTGAAGCATTTCAGGGTCAAGACATCGTGTTTGCTTGCAACTTACTCCCAAAAAGATCAGAGAAAGAAAGAGAAGAAGAGTGATAAATGTGGTAAAACTTTAATATTTGGGGAATCTGGTGAAGGGCATGTTGGAACTCTTTCTACTATTTTTGCAGGAAGTTTGAAATAATTTCCAAATAAGTGAAAGGAAAAAGGAACAGCTATCCATGAGACAGGGTAATTGTTTGGGACATAACCCACCATCGGCACTACTACCGGGCGCACAGAAGGTGCTCAGTTAATGTTTGATAATCAAATGAATGAATTGGTTCACTAATTAATATATTTCTTAGGTATTCACTGGAAGAATGACACCTAGGATAATTATGTTTTCAGAAGAAGTTGAGAAGGAAAAGAATTACAAGGGGCAGCCCCATGAGATAATGCCACCTACCTGCAGAGGAGGGGTAGGATTGTGGCAGACAGTAGGGAGAAAGACAGAAAAATAACCACTGGGATAGATCATCAGGACGAAATTTCCTCCAGGGCTGACTTCCAAAGACTAACTTGAGCTAAACTGAATCTCACTTTCTTACCAGCCATAATTTTAAATGATATCCCTCCAGCACAATATTCATAAATGTTCCTACTACAATGTGCTGTGAGCAAAACGCGTAACTCTGCAGAAAAATTGCTTCTACATTTTTCTCCTCCTCAGCTCTGACATTGCTGGGGTTGTCTAGGCATTTCAAAGTCCACAAATTATGGACACTTTGCATAACACCAAGAGCTGGCAAACATTGCAACCAAAGCTTTTCCATTTATATGTCAAAATTACTCAGATAAGAATTAGAAGATTGTGGAAATAAAATCTTTCCATCTAGGATAGTTTCCAAGGCAATATTTAGAATCATGATAAAAATTTGGATAATCTTTCTGATATTAAACAAATATCTAATAGGTTAACTTATGCTATGCTGAGGTAACGAGGAAAACCCAAATTATTGGATGGCTGGACACAGCAAGGGTTCATTTCTTGTTCAGAAGTGCAATGCAGAATTATCTCCAGGAAATCTCTCTGTAGGCTCCTTCCATCTTACAATGTCACCCTCTCATCTCCCGAGCCTCTACAGCATGAGAGGAGAGAACTGAATAGTCACCGAGGAGCTCTTTTGGCCAGGCAGGAAGGTAGCATAGAGCACATCTACTCACATCCCATTTGCTAAAACTGATCAATGGCCTCAATTTAAATGCAAGGGAGGCTGGGAAATGAGAGGCAGGGAAGCACTGATATTCTGTGAACTGGTACTAATATCTAGGCCCCAAATCTCTAATGCCTTTTTTTTAGTAAAAACCTATAACCTTCTATCGAGAATGCTATTTAATAGATAATGGAATTTAACAGACACTGGAATGGAATAGATAATAAACAATGGAGCACATCAAGTTTACTCCATGATACAGCGACAAAACCAAATTTTTAGGGAATTGACTTCCCTGTTCTTGTCCTAAAGCAAACCCTACAAATGTCACAATGCACTTTGGAATTCAATCTCTAGTCTTTGAGAAAATATGTGCAAAATTTCTTCGTGACAGAAATGGTTGCAAGTGTTGATTTTGTTGTTCTTGTTGATGGGACGAGTGGTGGAAAAGGGGGCGTGGATTTTTATTTCTATTGTGACTGAGTTTGGAAAACTACTCAGCAACAAGTAAACAGAATGTCACTGTCGTCATAATAAGACTACAAGAGAAAAACATCTCAGGGAGAAAAAAGTTAACAAATTTCTGACATTCCAAGGTGTAAAAGGAAGCAATCTGACGTCTGAAAGCCGGAAAAAAAACAGTTTCTTGGCGCATGCTGTCCATACATACTGAGGTCACCTAGAAAGTTATCAGGACTCAAAAATAAAGGAAATTAAAAGTCTATCTTAAACGACACCTTGTAGCTGGAAGCCACCAACAAGCATGTGAAGACTTGAACATTTTCTCTTCCTTGTTTGAAAGTCCTCAGTAAATACTCTGTTATGCTGAGCTGGTTGTTTAATTCAGGTAAACACTAGAATTATAGAGTGACTCCCAAATAAACATATTGCCCACTATATATAATGGAAACCATAAGAGGAAAATCCTGAGAATGTTTACACAAAGATGCAAAAGTGATGGAAAGTCATTACTTGAAAAAATTAGATTAACTGAAAGGAAAATCCTTACTAGGACGAATGTCATACTGCAGAAAAGGAAGCCAAACAAGCTTTGCCTTGAAATCCACATGCTCCTGCGGTATAAAAATTACATCTCTAGGGCAGACGGTGGTTTGAAGAAGTTAAGCCTTTAAAAATAAACAACAGTCCCTCTTACCTTATGATTCAGAGTCCCAGGAAGGTTTCCCTGCATGAGCAGAGAACACATTCCCTGAAAATCCACCATTAGGCTTTTTTTAAAAAATTAAGCTTCACCTTCATAGGCAGATAATTTCTCTCTCTCTCATACACACTTAGTGGAATAATATCTTATATCATTGATGCATTATTAACCGGAATATTTTTTAATATATTTAGCATGGCAAATGAAAAAGTTTGCAATATGAAACAACCAAAGGGGAGAGAGACTAGGAGAAAAGTAGAAAAAAGAGGAAAACTCTGATAGCATGAAATGGTGGGAAGTGTTCTAACATATCTTCTATTCGTTTCCTGCTTTGCAATTTGTTACTGCTGTGATCTGAGATAAATTACATTAGCTCACCAAGCCTCTGGTTGATTATCTGTAACATGGGAATGATAAGTATGGGTTCTAGAAGATAGATGGAAGGACTAAATAGCATAATATATACAAAATAATACAGAGTGTGTCACTAGGCAGGGTAACCCGTCCGGAACCCTGGCCCAAGAAAGTGAGTCCTTGGGCACCCTCAGGAAAGAATTCAAGCGAGAGCCACAGATTATAGTGCAAAACAGTTTTACTGAGCAAGACTTAGGTAAGAGAAAGGAACAGGCTGCAGAGAGCCGGGGCTGTCTCAGAAAGCAGAGAGAGCAGCCTCCAGCTGGGTTGAAGGGGATTGTTTTATGGGACCTCAAAAGGAAGCAGTCGCAGCAGCTGGGGATTGGGTCTTGGGACGTAATCAGCTGGCTGATTGGTTCTGAAACTGCATGTTCAGTCTGTGGTTCCTCTGCAAACCGAGTGGTTTGCAGCAGGCATGGATGGGCTGCTGACTTGCTCTATGTTACAGGATGTGTGGCCAACTTCAGCAGCATATGGCTTCTTCCACGTGCAGACTTGTCTCACCTAGGCACCCACCTAACCCACCAAGATGCCTGTCTCAAGTTGACCAAAGACTTTCTCACTTTTCTTCCCTCAAGGATATATCATCAATATCACTGTTAAAACCTTCTAACCACTTATATGCATGTTAAACAATAGATTGGAAATGAGTAAAAACTAAAATACACAGAATTAAGTGAAGCATCATTGGCTGATAAAGAGGTAACGAGTGAGAAAAACAAGATGACAAGAAGGTTATATTGGCAGTGAGTAGGACACACCAAGATATATTTGGCCAGTAGAACACTAAAATACTGCCACAAACCATCCTTTGCCCTAGCCCAACTTCAGGTCATGAAATAGAAACCAGTGGAAACATTTTGCTTGCCATGTGGTTTCAAATGATCCTCAGAAAATATTACAAATGTGTCACCTAATAGATCCATGACATTGGCAAGTTATTTAACTCTCCTGAGTCTTCTCCTCATCTGTAAAGTGGGAACGATTATTGTGAAAATGAGAGGTAATATGTAGAGACCCTAGAATAGTAACTAGCAGAAGAATTTCCCTTGATTCTTCCCTTTTCTTTATTTCATACATCCAACTCATGAGTAAGTCTGTGACCAGTACCTTCAACACATTCCAGAGCCACCCATTTCTTCCCATCTTCATTTTTGCCATTTTACTCTTAACTTACAATCTGTTATTCATATAGTGCATTAGTTAGGGCTCTCCAGAGAAACAGAACCAATAGGATGTGTGTGTGTGTGTGGAGAGAGAGAGAGATTAATTTTAAGAAATTGCCTCACATGGTGGGGAGGCTGGCAAGTCCAAAATCTGCAAGGTCCAGCAGGTTGGAGACCAGAAAGAGCTGATGTTGCAGCTCAAGTCCAAAGACAATCTGGAGGCAGAATTTCTCTTCCTAAAACGATATCCATCTTTTTTCTCCTAAGGCCTTCAATTGATTTATTGAGGCCCACCCACATAATGAAAGGTAATCTGCTTAACACAGTCTATTGGTTTAAATGTAATCTCATCTAAAAAACACCTTGACAGCAACATTTAGACTAGTGTTTGACCAAATATCTGGGTACCATGGCTTAGCCAAGTTGACTCATAAAATTAACCGTCACATGTAGAACTACCAAGCTCATTCCTGCCTCAGGGCCTTGTACGAGCTGTTCCCTCTCCTTGGAAAACTCTTCTCCAGCTCTTCACATGCTTCATCACTCAGATCCAAGCACAAATGTCACTGCTTCAGAGACCTTCTCCACCCAACCAATATATTGTAGCTCCCCCACTACCTTCCTTACCCCAGTCACAATCTCTCACCTCTCCCCACTTTGTTGTATTTACACATTTATCACTATCTAAAATCATCTTGCCTCTACAATCTCCTGCATTATATTTCCCCTCGCAGCTCTGGGCTCCATGTATGCAGGGATCTTTTCTGCTTAGCACTCTATCCTTCTTATCTAGAACCATATCTAATACATAGTAGGCACTCAATAAATATTTATTGAATGAATCAATCAACCAATCAATGCTAGGCACTCAAATAAAATATCTGATTATTATTTTTATTAATAACTAATTTATATACTTTATTATGATGATGATTTACACTCTAGTCTTTTAAAACCATCTCTGGATTACCTTTTATTGGTGGATGCTGAATTTATCCTTAATCCTACCATAGTGATCGTTTCAAGTAAGTTTGTGAAATTTAAAGTCTATTATATGAAGAGGAGAAGGTGGGCTATTAAGGATTTGGAAACAAGAATTATCTTGCAAAGCTTAATATTTTATACATTAGCTTGTCTAATTATGGATATAAAGAATAGAGCCCTAAAATAGATTATGCCTACACATGCAAAATGATTTAGAATTGACGCAACAACCCTGTATAATTCAGGCTGAAATAACAATGTCGATTTTAGATATTCTAATAAGTAAAGCAAAGGTGGGCTCCTATTTCTTGGATTGGCTTCATTTGCTCCATCATTTTCTGCATGTAGACATAATTGAAGAGTGCTTCGAAATTTACACTTGGCAGAGAAAATGAGCCTCCCTGGACATTTACTTTCTTTGTAAGGAGATGAAAGTTATGATTTCATTATCTATTGAGGAGAAGGAAAACATGAAGGTAGATGTTGGATGGTGAAATGAAATAAACCTCTTAATGGACTACCTTTTCATATTTTACTCTATCTGTAAAATATACAACCAAAGCTTTGAACATGCTAATGAATACAGCTGTTGTTGCAGAGTCTTTTTTCTTTTTTTGTAGGGATGACGGAGCCTAGTTTTCACTAGCGTAAAGGTAACCCTAGAAGTGATGATAAACTGATAGAAAATTCTCAAAGAGGTTTCTTCCACAGAAAGTTCCAATGAAACCCTTTTCCCCAAGAATTTCCTTAGCATCTCAGCCTATTCCTTTCTCTCTGTTTAGCCTGAAACCACCACATGATACATTTAATCTTTTTAGTTTTTAATCTATGAGGAGAGTTTCATTTTGCCATAAGATTAATTATTCTTTCAAAAATTTATAATCTGAGGAAGACACAGGAATGGAATTTCCTATTTCTTTTTCAGAAAAAAGATTCTAAAGCAGGAACAGATTGGCAGTTCCTTGGTACTGCCATGTGACATCCTGACAGTCACTTCTTTGGGGGCATTTATTAATCAGAAGCAAGACCAGTGAAAGATACCTTCGTCTGATCATTGTCTTCTTCAGAGAAGCTAAACGAACTCAGTGTCTGATTCATTTTGGAGATGAACGTGAGAAAGGACACTAACACCCTTCCCCTCCTTGGCAAGCCCACTGCTGAGCCCCAAACTGCTAAGCCCACTTGATCTCATTGAATGACACTGTGAAATAAGTATTATTATTCCCATGTACAAATTTGAACAAGTGATTTAACCTCTCTGAGTCTCAGCCAAAATGAGAGAGCGAGAAGGATTAAACTTGTTCTGTCTAGCTCCAAAACGTGCCTAGAAGCAAGCTTTACACGCAGAGACAGGAAACACCATCCAACGGAAAACACAAAAAGCAGAAATCATAAAAGAAAAGACTGATGGGTACAGCTACTTCAAAAAAAGAAAAGGAAAAAAATGTGCATGGCAAGAAAAAAGACATCACGAGGTTGAAAGACAAGTGACAAAGTGGGAAGATATTTGTATATATAAGAGAAAAAATTAATATCCAACAGAAAAATGATTCTTATAAATCAATTAGTAAAACATAAAAACCTCATGGGGGAAAAGGGAAAAAGATAAAAACAATCAATTCTTTAAAGATAAAATATAAATAGCTAATAAATGTATGTAAGGATATTCAAGCTACTCAATAACGAAGATGGTCAGAGTGATAAAGATTAAAAAGACAAACAAAACCCTCTGTTCACAAGCGTTTGAGGAAATGGAAATTTTTGTATACTTTTGGAGAAATTATAAGTGGATACAATCTACTAAGAGATGGTCTGTCAATGTATATGAAAACTTTAAATATGTTTGCCTTTGAGATGATCATTTCACATTTAGAATTCAATCTGAAGGATAATGGTAGAAAAATTCACTAGAAGTACAGGGAAATTAGTTACAGTAATATTGATAAGAGCCACACAAAACAAGTTCATCAAAAAGCAACTGGTCGAACTATAACGGCCCAATAGTGGATTCCAGTATTGAAAATGATGCTTGATGCTCATACATTTTTCACTTTCATCTTTCTTTCTATTCTGAGTTGTCTATTCATACACATTTTCTCCAAAAATCAGGGATAAGAAACTACAGTTTTCAAACCCTTTAATACATCTAGCACTTTGCAATTTACAAAGCCCTTTTCCATATTGTATTCCATAGTAAAAACTTGGTCTCCAGTCCAGTGAAGCTAGAGTTTCACATGGTTTCATGCCAAAAACCATAATTTCTCTTTGCCTGTGAATTTCTTTTAATTACTTCAAAAAAATGGAAGTAGACAGGTTACTCAAATTCACCCAGATGTTTGAGTTCAGCAACCATAATCAGAAGGAGCGAGAAAATGTGGTTTTCTTTTATTTCGTTCCCCTTGAGCTTCTTCAAGACCCTTTGAAAGGACAGCTGCTTATTTCAGGCAACCGCTCTGCTTAATGTATGAAGAGAGGAGATCCGCTCCTGAAGTGCGGCTGTTTTCAGGACCCAGGGAACTGAAATTTTCAGCGTCTCCCCCAGCTCTGCGGGGCGGGCCTTTCATGTGAGCAGGAAGGAAATGGCTGACAACTTTCTCGTCTTTATGGAAGGCGGACTTTATTTCCAGCTCTCGGGTCAAAAGGCGGCGGAAAGAAAACAAAACCACTAAGAGATAAAGGCTAAAAATAATGTCCTGTGGGGTGAATCAACACAGTTTGGGACCCTGAAGACAGCAACAAGGCAAGGATGTGCGTACAGCTAAATCTGCGTCATCCTTAACAGGTGGTCGTGACCAGAATCAAAATGCCTGGACGAGAGAGGAAAGGGGCTCTGCAAACAGGTGTGCTGCAGGGAAGGCGTAGGGAGGGGAGAGGAAAAAGTCATTTAAACAAGCCTGGGCTTGGAGCCCAGACTTTTTCCCAGCAGATCACCTCTGGGAGAACCCAAGGGTTGGGCATGGGCTCGGAAGGAGCTAAATTTGATTTGGGGTTTTGTGGTTTGGGTGATGTACTTTGAGTTTAAAATAGAAATAGATGTGTTTATACAGTTGGGCTTTCTTTCTCTTTGCTTTTAATTGTCACTTTAGAAGAAATAAATCTATGATTCACAGACTAATGCCAAAAAAAAAAAAGAATAGGAGTTCTTATTTGGTGATTTCCTATTTTATAGGAAGCAATGGGAAAATGGGTTTAAAAAATCACACTGAAGACATCCGTTAGGAACTTTTGATGATGAGTATAAGGATGATTTATTTTATATATATAGTGCTTTGTGCTTTTTGGAACATTCTAATTTGGACATACAATCGTCCTGGGAGATAGATAAGCTGGTTATTATTAACTCTGTTTTGTAGGTTAGGAAACTGAGGTCAGATAAGTTAAAAGATTGTATGTGTCCTTTTAGACTGAGCTATAATCACACACACACACACACACACACACACACACACACATACATACACACATGCAGGCCAGTCAGGATCATTATTTCTCTAACTGTACCACTGGGCAGACCTCTAAATGGGAAAGCTGGTATTAGATGCTAAGGAACATAATACAAAAAGTAATACTGAATACAAGAAGCATGAGAAAGAACCTAGCTTACATGGATTTGGTAACAAGCTAGATCACACAGGGGTCTGAGCAGCACTACCTCACTAGGCCTTTCCAACTGTCTGCTGGGTATCAGGATGTCCAACTGGTACTAGCCATCATGCCTACACGTATGAAATAAGACTGATCATCTTTCTTTATCCCCTAGAGCCCCTTCTCCTCCTTCCTTTCCTTTCTACGTCAATAATATCACCATTTTCCCAGACTCCCAGAAACAAATGTGTTTCTGATTTCTCCACTTTCCTTGTCTTCTACATTCAATCAACCCTCTTCTTCAACCACTGAAATGACTCTCATATTGCTCTCTCTTATATCCTAATATAGTCTATCATTCTTCTTACTAGACAAATGCAATAATTTCTTCTCACTGTCTCGAGGTCTAGTCCAGGTCCAATCTATCTCATGCACTATACCAGTCAAACATCCATTAAATGTGACCTGTTTTAACACCACCCTGCTCAACATCTTACACTTGCAGCAGAATAAAATCTAAACTCACTGGTCATGACATTTTGAGGCCATCCATGGTCTCCAATTTTGCATTCATGAAGATCCCAAAATTAAACAAGACCGTTTTCTCCTAAATATGCTCTCTTATCTCAATGTCTGTGACACAAATTCCTACATATTCCTTCTTTGTTTACAGAAATACTAGCATCCTTCAACCCCCAGTTCAGATGTCCTCTACTTGATGAAGCTTTCCCCAGTTCTCTGAGCCATTAGACATCCCATTATTTCCCTCTGTCCCCACTGGACTTGGCACCTCCCTTGCATCATTTATCACATTTGGCCTTTTAATAACATTATTTTGTGTGTTTATTAATAGATTGTAAGCTCTTTCAGGGAAATTATATCCTATTCATCTTTATATCCTGGAGAGTGCTTAACATAATCCTTTGCACATAGAAGATACCCAATAAATATCAATTGCGATGAAGTAGAATTAACTGAAGCCTGTGTCGTAACTTCCAAGTTATTAAAGCATGCAACAATAACATCTAGCCACTCGCAATTCACAGGATGATGATGATGATGAAAGTGACAGCTATCACTTACTAAGCATTTATTACATGCTAAGGATATTGTATGCATTTTCTAGCTCGCAGTCACCCTGTGAGATTTATTTGTCATATTCACATTTTACATATGGGAAACTGAGAATTAATAGCCTCTTCAAAACTACACAGATAGGAAGCAAAGGAGACAGAATTGGGGCTATCTTATTCCAGAGGGTGATCCTAACTACCAAGCTGTAACCACAACGGACATCACTGATGTGTTTTCACAGGGACAGTACAACCAATTTCCCTAAAGAGGTAATAATTTTTCACCAAGACATTCATGTTCTCTTGCCTAGCCGCCCCTTGAGAATAGCTGGATTATGGCTTAAAAGGTATAAACCATGGCGCAGCATCGTGCCGTGAGCTGAAAGGACAGAATCTAGAGCACAAAACTAAAATTGGGGTCACCAAGGTGAGGCCAAGACAGGGGCAGATTCAAGAACTGACAGGAGTTGAATGCAATAGAGAGTGACGCTGGGAACCTGCCTTGGAACAGACATGAGCAAACACCCAGACAGGCATCAAGTCTGGAGAGGCCAGCAGCAGACTCAGGAGCAAAACAAAAAGCTGCTCTGCAGGGGGTCCAGGACATGGACAAGAAGAATGGGCAAAGAGTCAAGTTCAAGCAATGCCAAGGCTAGAGCTCCGGAATGTGCCAGCCTTTTCTTTCCCTCTTGATGTGTTAGGTGTTTCTGAGAAAGCAGGATACAGTCCTGAATGTTATCTGACTTGGGACTTTTAGGTAGAGATAAGTGGAAGATCCTGCCTAGAGAGGAGGGTGGTGGGAGGGGAGGTGGTTCAGAAAGTTCTGATAATTTATTTTCATATTCCCAAAAGCACATGAAAGTGCACACTAAATACGCCATAAACATTTGTTGATTACCTGATAGATGACAGAGAGTTGTTTGTTTGTTTCTTACGAACAAAAATAAATCAGGCCTATTCATGTGCCGCTTGCTCAAAGTAGCTCAGAAATCAAAAAGAACTCAGAAGGGACCAACTCCTTTGCACAGTGCAGAGTTGAGCCCCAAGGGAGGAAGAGAGCTCTGTTTCCTAAGCCTAGGTAACTGGAAATGCCATACCTCTTTGCCAGGGAATAAGCAAAGATTCCCTGCCTATTTTAGGAGCAACACAAGAATTCTCCAAGATGTTACGATGTCCAGCAGCAGTCGAGAAGGCAGCATGAGTACAGTCAGAACTAGGTACTTTCAGGAAGATTCACCCCCCTGCATGACAATCCTTCAAAAACACACCTTCTTTCCCAGATAAGAAAAATCATCACAGGTCATCATCAAATTTCCAAAAAAACTCCAAGTTATCTCTGTTATGAGTGTCAAAGCCAATTGTTCCCTCCAATCAGGACCCTTTCAGATACCTGAAATTCCCAAATGTGTTAAACCAGACGAGATACACTCTGCCCTTAGAGATTTCAGGAGAGCGGGGATTATCTTCAGTGATTTTCCCCTGTACCCTTTGCTCTCGGATACCCTGAACTGAACTCATTCTTCTATATTTCAAATGGTAGCCAGTAGCCAAAGTCATCAGCGCTAAGCCCATTCTTCATTATTTTTGAAACACCTAATATTTATTTTATGATAGAGAAGGCTTAGAACCTTAAATGAAATATCCCCCGACGTGGGTCACTCTGTAATAATACTACCTATAACACTTGCCACTTGGTGTTAGATAAATATCTCCTTTGTGCTAAACAAGAATATAAACCCATGAACAAAATCAACGTTTTTAAACTAGGTCATTTTAATTAGTCGGTTCTCTATTTGTCACAGATCTTGTGATCAAATCATTCTTCTCCATAATAGGACTTATTGTTTTAATGATTTTAGGAGTAAAATCAACCCATTTTATGGCTGCTCGAATGATATAAATATTGTAACCAGGAATCAGTCAAGTCTCGGCCACAGAACAAGAAGGCAACACAGTCATTAAAATCAGAAATCAATACCAGCGCCTTTGGCTGTAAAGAATATTAAGCTCTGCCATAAACTAATGCCAAAATCTTAAGTTTGCATAGTTGTTTCTGATAATCTATTGAAAACTTAGATATAATGAAAGGGTGAGTATAAGAGAAGGTTCTCACTAAAGTCTAAAATATAGGCGAAAAATTATTTTTGCCCTCACCTCTACAGAAAGGAGGGGAAAAACAGAAAAATGTTAATCTAATCTAACTGTCCTATTGGAATAAGTACCAGTGTCCCCTGATTGGTCACACACATATCCTTCAATACTCTAGTGGGGCCATTTGCCTCTCAGGCTAAGTAAAAGGAACATTGATCTACTCACACACATAAACTTCTGAAAAATGTGTTTGACAATCCTAATTCTGCTGGCCAGCTAACCAATCTTAGACATCCCACCATATCATTTCTTCTCTTCCTCCCTGGGCAGAAAACAACCAACAACAAATACCTGGAATCCACGACATTGTTCTTATCAGACAGGCGGCATCAGAAAAGCCTAAATATCCATTTATAGGAGAATGACTGCATATGTAGAGTGTTCCATGAAATGCAACTCAACTGTTTAAAACAAAAAGTGGTTCTATATCTACTGACATGGAAAGAGCTTCAAGAGATACTTGGCGTTCAACAAGTTTTAGTTCATGTGTGCAGTATGGTACCATTTACAGACAGCTGAAATCACAGAAGAGCACAGAGGCCATCTAGAAGGATAAGCAGATCCCCTGAGAGAGTGCTGGGATTGAGGGTCGCCATCAACAAGGTTGTGGGTTTATTTGTAAGTTTTACTGATAAGAAAGTACTGATCCATTTCTTATATAAATGCCCTCTGGTCCCCTCCCCTTCCCCCAACAGGCCCAGTCACAGTAGCCACATTTGATTATGAACAGAGCAGCCTCTCGTGATGACACCTATCACGCACCCAGGATGGGCCATGCAGCCCAGGTAGGACATACCACGTGTCCATCGTCTTGAGAGATTTCTCTTAGCACTTAGCTCTGGCTTTTTAAATGCTTCTCTTAACCTGCAGAGTCAAATGGCTCTTAGTTTTATCTTTTTAATGCACTGCCTCCCAACTCTTTCGGGAATCCTCCATTTCAGTCACTTGTTGCTCAGGCTACTGTTTTGCTGCTTAAAGACCCTCTGGGACCCCTCTGCTCTCTGAAATTTCCTCTGCTGGTCCTTTGCACCAGCATCTCTTTTTCACAATTAACAAACCTTTTTGTAGATTTCCTAAGCACTTAGAGCACTGCTGCTCATAAATGAGGATTAACAACGACAACAAAAGCTATGCTTTTTTATTTCCTCCAGTTTACTAGGTTTCTCCGTAGTGGAATGACAGCATCAATAATTCATAATGATTCTCCAAGTAAACGAATAATGCAAACCACACTAATAAAACACTGTAAGTCTAGAACTGCACTAATGACCACAGAGTGGTTACAAAATTAATGATCTCCCTGAACTCTTCATCCAAAAACATCCCGCAGCACTTTATGGTTTTAAGATATCAAGAAGCCTTTGCTCTCTTCACAACCAATTTGCTGCCTGCTCCCAGAGAACACAAATGGCCAGGAGAGGAAGTGTGTGCTTCAAACTGGAAAATTACAAATATGTGAACCAGCTTTTGAAATTCCCCTTTGCACTGGACTAGAGCCAAGACACCAAGTCTTACACTTCCAGCCATGCATGAAAGATGTTTGGGGATTTTTCTCATCCAAGACCCCCAGGACTTTCTCATGTTGATTTCCAGGGGACAAGGCACTGAGTAAAAGCATATCTTGCCACAATTTGACTTTTATATCTTTTCTATGCATTTAAATGTGTCATAACAGTTAACCAGATCTGCTATTTTATTGCAACCCATTAAGAATTAGCATAAAAGCTATGATCCCATCACTGTTTTTTAAGTAAGGCTTTAAATTATAAGCCTGAACGGAAGGACTCTACAGAAAGTCCAAAATTGAACATTGTTCAAAGACAGGTAAAAACATGATGTACCACCAAATCTGACTACTCACCCTACATGAGCTTACCAATATGAAAACACTGTCAGCTCTAAAGAGCTTTGCAAATGTAAGACATTATTTTCAAGGCCCTTATAAGAGGTCTAACTACAACTTTGACCTAAGCATAAGTATAGCACTAAATGTAGTGTTGGCAAGCACGTGTGATTTTTTAAAAATTATTACTCATTGTTATTAATACGAATAATTCATGTGACAGCTGTTTGTGAGCCAAACACTAATGTTTGATATGGATTTACCAGGAAGAATTTCCAATTTTCTTAGCTTGCTTCCTCTCCCCCTCCCCTTGGACCTTGAAGCTGCCTAGGATGACTAAAGTAGATCACGTGTCCATGCACCGTGTGTGTGCAAACCAGCATGTGTCGACATCATGCTCTTCTTTAAGGAACTTAGGAACTTGCACCAAAAAGATGGCAAGGAAAGAGCAGAGCTGAGTGTCAGAGTTGACTTCCAATCAGGATATCCTACCTGGAATCAAGCCAGCTTCCGCTCCTTTGAATTAAGCAAGAAAGACGTGACCTTTCTTATAAATGAACGTGCAATCCCATTGGCACAACCACTGTAGGCTTCTGCCTTGGATGTGACTCTAAGTCATTTGGCAACAAGAGAATTCCTGAAAAAGACCTTAGTTAGACAGTTAAGTCTGAATGTTCAAAATGGCAGAATTAAACTGCCTAGTCATTCTCCTTAAAAAATTCACTTTTAAATATTCTTTTAACGTTAATGATTACACTCAGGAATAATGAGGACATGGGCAGTTTTATACACAGCTGATGAGAGAATTTGTTGGTAAAACCTTTCTAAAAAGTAGTTTGATGGGGCTGACCCCGTGGCCGAGTAGTTAAGTTGGCGTGCTCCGCTGCAGGCGGCCCAGTGTTTCGTTGGTTCGAATCCTGGACGCAGACATGGCACTGCTCATCAAACCACACTGAGGCAGCGTCCCACATGCCACAACTAGAAGGACCCACAACGAAGTATATACAACTATGTACTGGGGGTGCTTTGGGAAGAAAAAGGAAAAAAAAATCTTTAAAAAAAAAAGGTTTAAAAAGTAGTTTGACGTTATTCAAAAACAAACGTTAAATATTTAAATGCTATTTAAAACATTCTTAACCTTTAACATAGAAATCCTACTCCCAGGAATTTATCCTAAGTAAACATTTGTAATGTCACAAGATTTGGCTACAAGAACAACTTTCATAAAACAATTAATAAGAAGGAAAAATTGAAAAACACCATACAGACCGAATAATAATGGCCAGTTACATTAACTGGAGTATATTCATACAGTCATATACTTTGCAGTTATTAAAGGATGTGTGTGCTTATTAAGAGGAATAAAAGCAAAAATGTTCCCATTTTTATAAATTTATATATTTTGTAAATTTTATATATTATGTAAATTTATATATTGTGTGTATTGCATGTGATTTGGAGAGAAAGACACACACACACAAACATACTGAAAATCTATACCCCAAAATGTTAACAATATATGTTAGCTCTGAATGCTAGAATTGTAGGTGATTTTCGTTTTCTTCTTTTTGCTTATCTACATTTTCCACATGAAAATCTATTTTTAGAATAAATTTTTAAAATTATGTACACATTAGCAACCAGAGAAGCAGAGGACAGTTTTCGTTTGGGTTGGGTTTGGTTATTGACATTATTGATTTTTTTCCCTCCTTCCTGGTACTTGTTAATCTTTTGTTTGTTTGCTTATTGTTTTATAGGTCAGGCTCTTAAGATATCTGTAACTTCATAGGTAGAAGAGATTTCTCTCAAACACATTTCCAGATTATTCAGTGTTGCATGTTTTCCTGCTGACCTGATGAAGCAGTTCTCACTGGCACAGGGGGAGGAAAACAAGCTCAGGTTGGAGAGTCACAACAACACCAAGGAAGTCTACAGCCTGGGCAAGGGTTAAGGGTGCTGAATGGACCATTGTGAACACAAATAAAGTTCCAGACTGGTTGGTGGTCACCACACATCCTTCAGGTTCCATAATTGTACTTCCTTATGCCATTGCGATGAGATCCTTACTCTGCCACTCCCATGGGATCATGAGAGTAATTCTGTTAAAACACACATACACTAACACATACACGTGATTAAATCATCTTTTCATTTTTAAAAACAAGCACAAAACATCACCCTGACAATGATGAGATGGTCTCTAGCTACCATCATATTATGCTACTAAAGACCGATCTTTCTACTCAAAAAATTCATGCTCACAAAGAGAAGGAGGAACTATTTTAACCTGTCGTTTTCTTTCTTTACATCATTTTTTCCTTTTAGGTCATTTCCAAAATAGGAAGGTAAATATATGTTTTAAATCATCTGTGGCAGTGTCTTAAATTACGTCATTTCTTAAAGAAGAAGGAGGGAGGGGAGGAGAAAGAGGAGGAGGAAGAAAAGGAAAGAAAAGAAAAAGGACATCAGTGATTATCTTTCTAGTTCCTTTTCCACTGAAGTTCCACTTGTGAAGGCGACTTCTTGATGGGGGACATGCTACCAAGCAATTCTGGCAGTGAGCGGGGAGAGCTGTACAGACACATTCCTGCTTAAATTAATAAATGTTGTCCATTTGGACTTATTCATTCAGTGAGAACTTATTCCCATGTCAAAGGCTGACCTAAGAATCTCCATTATAAAAATTTAGAAAGTGCATCATTGCATGTTTAAAATTAAAGGCCTGCTGTGAGAAGAGAAGCAGTACCCTACAGTTTATCAAGAATGAGTAGAACCTTTATACAAAGTATAATTTATATATTTTCCCCTATCTGACTATTCCATGTGCATATTTTGTAGAATTCCTTCCCATGTGCTTAAATAATCACAGTGATGTAAAATCTACCAAACATAACATGATGTTTCACAGGAGTTTCATTTGTAGGTATCTGGTACCAAAAGAAACATTATGGAGTTATTCTTCAGAGTGCACAGACCATGCTCTTCAGAGTATTTGTCCAGTTCTAGACTAAACTGAAGAATGGAGGGAAGAGCTTAGGCAAGCCAGAGGCTTTTAAGCCCATTGCACACCCCTACCCCTCCCACCACCACATTCTGACATGATCACCAAGACCCCTTCTTCTGTAGAGAGACAAATACACAGAAAGCCAGTCGCTTCTCAAGGCCCATCCTCGCTAAGAACAAATAGAGTCCACCGAGAATTCTCCCCAAACCCCAACAAGTCAACAGCAAGAGCACTGAAGAGTAAAATAGGTAATTTACATTTAGCATATAAATGAATACTACTTTTAAATATGATTTTTAAAGTCAACAGATAAAAATTCAGAAGATATTTTAAGGGCATTATCCTCTTAACCCTAACCTTTTGAGACTGATGTCATGGTAGCCAAGTACCACTTGGGCAGTCTCCACAATAGAATATTTACAAGGATGGATGTTGATCAGACCTCATTTGCATTTGTGATGCTGTTGTTTGGAAACCTCAGGATCTTCCCAGGTGAAATCTGAAACTGGCCCCTGTATACAGAGGGCAAGAAGAGACTGAAGAAAGAGACAGACCACTCCAGATTGTTAAGTAGCAGGTTTAAGAAGCAAGGGAGCTTACTTAACAAGGCTTGTCTTGAGTGGCTGCAAGGGTCACTTGCTGGGGTTCGTACTTGAGCTAGAGCATCAGCTTTCTGATTGGTAGGGCATGTCTGTGCCTTATGAGCTGGGATGTGGAAGACAGTGAGGACTGCCTCAGGCTTTTGCAGGTGAACCCAAGTGTCTTTCCATATATCCTGATCCCAAAAAGACTTAATTATGATCATCCATCTCATGGCTTCCCATTGTCCAAGTCGTAGGGTTAATCCCTTTAGAACAGCCCAACTGTCAGTGCAAAGTTAACAGCCAGGGCTCACGAGTGATCATCAGCTAAGCCGCTCTGAGTTAAGCTCATTGATTGCTGTGGTTTGTTTCTGTTTCCATTCAGAGGGTGTCAGTTTGTGGCAAAATAGAGACTGCAGTCCATGTGGGCAGGTTGCCCTGATGAGACTCATCTGTATACCAGGCATCAGTGGGAATTTCTTCCATTCCCTCTCTGCTGGCCACGGGGGCCACCGCAGGAATAGTAGCAGGGGCTTTTGGAAGATCTACATACTCTACAGGGCCTAGCAGCACTTGGATTTCGAGAGACAGTGAGCTGGTGGACAGGGTGCTCTCCTGCTGCAAATAGGCATGGCAATTAGTCAACGTGTAAGTTTGAGCCCTGGCAGAGATGGGTTGCTGGAACATATTTTCAATTCATCCCTTGATAGGAAGAGGAGTTCTTACCATGATATGCTGTTCTTTCGTGAGAAGGTCTACCCGGAGGAGCGCTGAGCACACTGCTAAGCACTGTTGCTCTGAGGGCATATCAGGTTTTTGCCCACTTTCAGAGCTGGGACCAAAATCCTAGGGGTACCCTCTCCTTCTGTTGTCTCTGCCATAGTGCCTGACCCATACCTTCAGGAGTCACAGACACACCTAGCTCAAATGGTAGCCCTGCTTGGGAGATGCCCAGAGCTTTAATCTGCTTCATTGGTACTTTTGCCTTCTCCAAAGTGGCTTTCTGCTCTGATTTCCAGTCCCACATGTGCCCTTTCTTTACCAGGCGGTGTAAGAGACAGAGGCAGTGTGCCAGGTGGGGAGTAAGAGTCCTTCAAAACCCCAGAATCCCTACAAAAGCTCACATCTCTTTCATGTTTTTAGGTTAGGATCTGAGGACAGCTTTTATTCATTTAGGGGCACATCAGAGTTTTTGTTAAATA